ACTGAACTCAAGCTTCGTGCCCATCGCCTCATGCAAGCTGTGCCATAATCGACTGATGAATCTGGGATCTCTGTCTGATACAATCGTAACAGGCACTCCGTGGAGTCGAAAGATCCCACGGGCATATATCTCAGCCAACTTATCCATGGACATCCTCATCGAAACGGGTAAGAAATGCGCAACCTTAGTCAATCTGTCGACTACGACCCAGATAGCGTCGTGATGTTCAGACGACCTCGGCAATCCCGTAACGAAGTCCATCGTGACTTTCTCCCACTTCCACTTCGGAATCGGCAGTGGTTGTAGGAGGCCAATCGGACTCTGATGCTCGGCCTTAACTTGCTGACAGGTTAAACACCTCTTGCGACGTCCTTCTTCATGCCTCGCCACCAGAACGACCCCTTCAGGTCGTGATACATCTTCGTGCTCCCGGGATGGGCCAGATAGGGTGCGGTATGAGCCTCTGATAAAATATCCTTCCGCAACACCTCAACTTTCGGGACCACGATCCTGCCTTTGAACTCTAGGGCACCATCGGCACCTAGCTGGAAACCCTCGACGCCTCCGGCGCGAACCTTGGCCTCCATGACACGAACGAACTCGTCAGAAGCCTGTTCTCGCCGGATTTTCTCTCTCAGCGTCGGCTGAAGCTGCATAGCACTGACACTGGCACTGGCACTCCCCGAAACTGCTATGGGAAGTGCATCAATCGCCTGAAGCTGCATCCAGGAAAACTCCTGAATCAGCGGACTCTGCTGAGTAATGACGTACGTCAAATCACCCCTTACCTGACGGCTTAGGGCATCTGCAACGACGTTCGCCTTCCCCGGATGGTACTGAATAGAGCAGTCGTAATCCTTGACAAGCTCTAACCAACGGCGCTGTCTCATGTTGAGCTCCTTCTGAGTAAAGATATACTGTAAGCTCTTATGATCTGTGAAAATCTCACAGTGACCGCCGTAAAGGTAGTGCCGCCATATATTGAGAGCATGAACGACTGCTGCTAACTCCAAGTCGTGCGTCGGATAATTCTGCTCATGCGGTTTAAGCTGTCGGGAAGCATACGCAACGACCTGGCCATCCTGCATAAGGACACATCCCAAGCCCTGCTTCGAAGCATCACTACAAATGGTGAAACTCCGAGAAGGATCGGGAATAGTCAACACTGGTGCTGAAGTTAATCTCCTCTTGAGCTCCTGAAAGCTCGACTCACATCTGTCAGTCCACTCGAACTTCACAGACTTCCTCGTCAGCTGGGATAGAGGGAGGGCAATCTTGGAAAAGCCCTCGATGAACCTGCGATAGTATCCAGCTAGACCGAGAAAACTGCGAACCTCGGACGGACTCCTCGGTGCTGACCAATTCTGAACAGCTGAAACCTTGGAAGGATCCACCTCGATACCTGCCTGAGTAATCACATGACCCAGAAAGGATACTCGCTGGAGCCAGAACTCACATTTGGAGAATTTTGCAAACAACTTTTCTCGTCTGAGGGTTTCAAGAACCACCCTCAGGTGCTCCTCGTGCTCCTTCTGGCTCTTCGAGTAGACAAGAATATCGTCAATAAAGACAATAACAAACTGATTGGGGTAGGAATGGAAGATACGGTTCATGAGATCCATGAAAACTGCTGGCGCATTGCTGAGACCAAATGGCATGACGACGAACTCGTAATGGCCGTAACGAGTCCTGAAGGCGGTCTTAGCAATATCTGACTCTTTAATCTTCAGCTGGTGGTAGCCTGCTCGCAAATCAATCTTTGAGAACACACAGGCTCCCCTCAGCTGATCAAATAAGTCGTCGATCCTGGGAAGCGGGTACTTATTCTTGATCGTCAACCGGTTAAGATCCCGATAGTCGATACACATGCGCATGGATCCGTCCTTCTTCTTAACAAAGAGAACGGGTGCTCCCCAAGGTGACACACTCGGTCGGATGAAACCGAGTCGTAACAGCTCCTGAATCTGCGCCTTAAGCTCCTGCAACTCCTTAGGCGCCATACGGTATGGGGCTTTGGATATCGGACCGGCCCCTGGAATAAGGTCTATAGAGAACTCCACCTGCCGATTAGGCGGTCCTCCTGGAAGCTCGTCTGGGAATACGTCCACAAACTCTCGAACGACTGGAACATCGTGAGGTGAACGCGCTTTCTGAGAATCATCAACAAGGCTCACCAGATAACCCTGGTAGTTGCCTCGTCGCAGCAACTTAGTGGCTTTCGCCATCGAAACAATATGAAGCAAAGAACGGTTTCTGGAGCTGAAGAAAGTAATCGACTCATCTCTCGGAAGATAAAGAGTAATCTCCCGATCGCGACATTTGATATCCGCATGATAAAAGGATAGCCAATCCATTCCGAGAATAAGGTCGAAGTCCTTCATCTCGAGAACAAATGCTTCGGTGGGAAAAACTCGGCCACCGGTGGAAAGGCTAAGATCTGAGGCTTTAGCTGAAGTCACTATCTTTCGTCCCGAGGCCAAACTCACCTCGAGAGGATCGATAGAAGTAGTAGCGCGAACTCCGATGGCATCAAGACATCGTCGTGAAATGAAGGTATGTGTCGCTCCAGTATCAAACAAAGCAAACACAGGAACATTATTAAGAATAACCATTCCGGACATGGTACCTGGCTGCTGCTCGGCCTCTGCCTGATCGATAGCATAAACTCTGCCCTGCTGTCTACCCCTCTGCTGCTGCTGCTGAGGCTGCCTCTGTGCCTGCTGACG